TCTAAGAATTTCCCGTTGGGCTGTCTTAATTGTTTCTATAGGAAAGCATCACAATTTAGCGTGACGATTTATTACACTGTTTTACACTAGCACTGTCATTAACGTTCACTGCACTAGCTCAAGTGGCTTCTTCCTTTTGAGCCTTCTGTTGAGTGTAGAGTTGTCCAGCAATTGCAGCGCTTCTAAAGTTGACGTGGAGGTGGAGTCGACCCCCATGTTTCGCAGTAAACCTCTTTATTTCATCTTCGATTGTTGGCATCTCTATAAAGATAATCGTTTCGATAAAACCAGGGTGCATCAACAATGCATCTTAGGACTTTATTTTGGAAAACTTGTATCATGTTGATATTACTCTTGCTGGCACATCCCCATAGTAATATGCCATAAATCCACATTGGTTTTAGGATTTGTTTATAAATCAGCAGTTTGTTGTGCACTGACAATTTGGATTCTCTTCCAAGGAGCCAATACATTTCTTTGAATTTAAGTTCAAGTTCTTTACGCTTTTTTTATGTGCTCTTTCCATTTAAGTGTTACATCTAGGTTTATCCCTAGTTATTTGGCCGAATCGTGATGCGGAATAACGTCATTGTTTATTCTTATTTATTTTTGTTCATTTGGTCGAAGAGTAAAATCAACATGCACTGATTTAGTTTGATTTATTTTTATTTTCCACTATTTTGTCCTTTGATTGATTCTGTTGCGGATTTCCTAAAGTTTTTCTGGGGTATCTGTATTAGTTCCGCCAACTGCCAATATTGCAGTGTCATCCGCAAATGTTGCTATTTTAACACATTGTTGTTGAGGGATATCGCTGGTGTATAATGAGTAAAGAACCGGTTCTAGCACACTGTCTTGTGGGACACCTACTTTAATTTCTTTCATTTCAGAGTATGTCTCGTCTTGCTTTACTTTAAACATTCTTCCCGTTAGATATGATTGTAGAATGTCGACATATTATCTATGGAGATTTTTTTTAGGCCAGCGTACCAAACCTTGTCAAATGCTTGGACTACGTCAAGAAATATAGCTGAGCATATATATTTTTCTTCGTAAGCTTTTTTGATGATATCGGCTATCCTGTGTACTTGATCTCTTGTCGAGTGTTTGTTTCTAAAACCAAATTGGTGCGAAGGGATCAGATTTTTATTTTCAATTATTGGTTTTAGTCGTTTTAGTAGTAGTTTTTCAAATAACTTACATATTATCGGTAACAATGATATAGGTCTATATGATAACACTTCATTCAGAGGTTTTCCTGGCTTAGAAATTAGGATAACTTCACAGTCATTTTCCACTCATCAGGTATATATTTAAGGCGAAATGCTGCATTTATGAGGTATATATCAATTTAACAATAGCCTTCCGTGGTAGTTTCTTTAATATTTCATCCAGTCATAAGGTCATATCCTGGGGCTTTCTCTGAGTTGATGTTTGTCTGAATTTTTTTCGTAACTTCATTGGGAGTAACTAGCCTAATTTCAAGTTGTTCCATATTATAGATGTTCTCATTAGGAGTGTCTTGATTTTCATCTAGTTGGAACATCTTTTTAGATGGTCAGCGAAAATATCAGCTTTTTGTTGATTGTCTCTTGTCCATTTGTTATCAGTTATTCTGATAGGAACACAGTATTTACACGAATTTTTTCATCTTTTTAGTTGCCTTCCAGAGTGAATAATCAGTTTCTGTATCATTTGTTAGCCCTACTAGGTATCTGTTGAAGGATTCTTCTTTGTGATTTAGGATTTCTCTTCTCAGTCTTTGGGTAGCCCTATTTAATATATTTTTATCTTCTGGTGATCTTGTCATATGGCATTTCTTTCTTAGTTTTCTCTTTCCTGTTACCAGTTCTCTTATCTCGACAGGATAGTTTTTCCATTTGTTAATCTTACTTTTGGTGTGTTCCTCCATGCAGCTTGCTGGATTTCAACTATAAACCTTTCCAGTTCTTTATTTAGCTGATTTTTCGTTTTTAGTGTTATGGTCAGTTGAATAGTATTTGTTAAGTCCTCTTGAAAACCTTCCCAATTAGTTTTCCGATTTGCTAGGGTCGGTTTGGCTTCTTTTTTAATAACATTATCACTTAGAGTAAGTATTACTGCAGAATGGTCTGAATCCATATCAAAGTTTTCTTCTACTTGTATATAGTTTGGTGAAATTTTCCTCAGAATAAAGAAATTCGAAAGGTCTGGAATCTTATTTGGGTCGGTGGGCCAATAGAAGATTGGTATGCAGCTCGGTGCAATTCTTTTCTTTTGACTGTGTTTAATCTGTTTGGAGTTGTAATCTCCACCGATTATAAATTTGTTACCTAGTTTTTTGAGTACATTGAGATAATTTTCTTTTTTCTGGTTGTTTCTTGGTGGGCAATAGATTGCTGCTATTGTTAATGATGCTAATGGTTACCTGATTTTCTGATTCTTGGATTCCTGGTTCCTTATAGTGGGAAATGTTATTTTTAATAATTAACGCACTTCCTCTTCTTGCTGAATGTGATGTATGACTCTGTTGTAAGGTGGGTCTCAGAAATCAGACATATATCTATTTTTTGTACGTCCAAGAAAACTTGGATATCAGTTTGTTTTTGGAGAATACCATTAGCATTCCAAGTGGCTATTCTAATATCTCTTTTGTCCATTGGTGGTTTTGTTATATATTTGGGGTTTATTTAATTCTTCTAGCTTCTGGAGCCTGTTATTAAGGATAATAATAATTCATGAATGGTACTTTCTGCTAAGCTGGCTGACTGTGCAGTATGCTGTGCAATTTGTGGCGTGGAATTCATGGCTGGTTGTGACCTTTGAATTGGTTGCTCCTGTGAGTTTGTTACCTGAGAATATTTTATTTTATTTCTGACAGTAGGAAAAGCGTTTATGGGTCTCTTCCTTATCTGTCCTGTCCTTCCTACGCACTTTACGCATCTTGATTCTCTTTTTCAAAAGTTGTATGTATGTATGTATGTACAAATAGCTGGCAGTTTTTGTATTACGGAACTAGTTTTGACTTTTTTATGGTTTCTATTCTAACTCTTATATTAAGTATTGCTTAAACATTAAAATACAATTTCTATCATTTAACTAACAATTTCTTTAAATCTGGAACAAACTGAAACAATTATCCCCGTTATAGAAGACAAGTTATTTAAAATTTGTTGGAAGATAGATTTATTAGTCAACGAAATACATTTTGTTTTTAGGATTTAAATTGTTGACTCTCCTTTTTTTTATCTATTTGTTGCAAAACAGTTTTTGTTCGTTTGAAGGGTTGTTCCAAATTGTTTAATTGCAACTAATTTTTTGTTTTTCATTTAGGATTAGCAAATGTATTTTTTGCTGCTGTGCGTTTGTGCTTCAGCCTTATCATATTCTAAAATTTGACCTCGGGTTATATAATTGACATTGTCAATTAACCGTTAACGTTTTAAGACAACCTTGCTAAAAAATCTCTGGCAAAAATTATATTTAGAAAGATAGTGAATATTATCATTTAAAATTAAATTTAAATTCCTAAATGAGTTTCAACAATGGAAGGAAAATTTATAAAAGTTTTATCTGAATAACCAGCATGCTGCATATTAAAGTAATACTTATTTAATGGACATTTTAAAAAAGAAAATAAAGTGCAGCTCTTCTAGCGTTTGCAATAACTCTTATTATGAAAGTTATGGAAACTGGTAACATCGCTTTCTTACTATTGCAATGGTAGCGCCCTCTAATAGTATGCTGGGAACTACATGTTGTTGACAGATTAGTGTCGTGTAATTAAAAAAAATTCTTACTAATTTTATCTTTGGTAATAAAACCTTAATTATTGAAGTTTTGCTATTTCTACAAATTCGGCTTAAAAACTGTTCTTAGGTATTGCGAATTAACAGGAGAAACTGCAGCACTTTTATAAAAAAAGAGCACGCGATATATCCCACTTTATGATGAATTGATTAGTGGGGAATCATTTCTCCCAACACACCCAAGGTGTGAATTTGATTTTATTAAGTTCAGTAATGTACAAACAATACGTATTGGGGTGTACACCTAAATGTAGCAGTTGCAGGAGTATTTTGGTCGGAAAAATTAATGTTGAATGCAGAATCTGCATTGCATATTTCAACCCTGTTTGGTTTAAAAAAAGTTAAATGGTTCCAGGTTCCAGCACACAAAAGTTAGATGTATCGATGCCTTAATTTGCAAACCTTCTAAGTTACAAATGAAGATTTTTCAGAAGAACATAAATTTAATTGAATTTGAAAATTCCAAGAGTCTATTTGTGTGTAATTTGATTTATAATGTCAAGGTAATCAGTACATCCTAAAAGTTTTTGGTATATTTTAGTTATTTATTAGAAAATAGAGTTAGAAGGGTTTTATAATTAAATAAACGGACGGACGAACGTTTGCGAACTAAGTTTTCTTATTTTAGTTTTTTATTTTATTTATATTTTTTTGCGGAGCAACCCGCTATGACTTCAGGACACACAGGTTATGTAGATTAGTTAAGTTTTTTAAATTTTTCTCATCATATGTATAATTTTCTTTTGAAAGCAACCCGCTATGGCTTTAGGCCGCACAGGTTTGGTAAATTCGATATTTTTTTTTTGTAATTAGAAGACTAGGAAAATATTTATATTTTCTTTAATATATTTTACATTTAAACTCAACCTTATATGAGTTCATGTGTGGGATTAAAGCACCCTCACTATAAAACTGAAAAAAAGTATGCCAGTAATCAATTAAAATAAAACAAATAGAATAAAAATAAATTAATTTTTGTTGGGTCGCATATTATTTCAGAAGGCATATTTGTCGGGAAGATAATTTATCGGGGGCGCATTTGTCGGAGAAGCGCATTTGTCGGGCACTTTAGTCGGGCGCTTTTGTTGGAGCGCTTTTGACCGGTGCTCATAACTAAGCACCCCTTGCGTTTTTGTACAACCTTCTAAATAAAATTTCATTTCATTTTAATTTTACAAAATTGTCCATTCCACAATAAATAAATGTTTTTCTTTTGTTTAAGGTTCCAATTTACCGAGATCCAATGAGAAAGTACCTATTTGTGATTTTAATAACTGTGATATTAATATGTACTTATAACCTACAAACAGCAGAAATTACTTCTTATCAACTAGGTGAGTTACGTAAATGCAATCCAAATTTTCTTGCCTATTCACATTTTTATACATCAACAGCTGTCTTAGACATTGAATAATATTACAAAAAAATAAGCAAGCTTTAAAATATTTGGAAAAGAATAAGAATATTTGAAAATAAAATTAATTAAACCAAGAATATGTTTTGAAATGAGACATAAAATGTATATAACTGGAGCAGTTTAATAATATTGGAAATCTCATAATTTAAATTAAAAAAAAATGTAAGACGAATGTATCAAAAAAAAAGTAAAAATAGTTAGATAGTAAGTTTGACGCAAATATTTATCAAAAATAATCCACGAGTGTAAAATCAGTTGATCTGTTATGCAAATATCTAGTACCAACTCACCCTATTCAACGATTAGGGTACTATTAAGTGGTTCCTTATGTCAACCGAAAAAAGTATTTTAAAAAAGAAAGTAATTTTGAAAATTCTTAATTGAATATTTTTAATTTATTAATTTCGAGTAAATATACATTTTTATAAGTAATTTTTAAATTAACTTAAAAAATATTATTGCGTTAGTTCGGCCCTGCGCTCATCTAATTTCCTTACTCAATGGGCGTATTAAATAAAATTAATTAAAGTTAAAATTAGTTACTATTAGACATTTCACTTGAAAGCTAATTTAAAAATAATGTATATAGAAAATTATATTTTGAATTGGTGCTAAGTAATGTCATGACCGGTTATTATTTATGTAAAAATAGTAGTTTTTTAAAAAATATAACTTATGAATTTTAAAAAATGTCACATCGTTTGAAAAATATTCTTTTATATAATTTACAACTAAAAAAATGAATAAAAATAAAAAAAAAAAAATAAAAGTGGGTAGAAGCAGAAGGGATTACAAAGTCAGAAGAAGAAAGAAGAGTAGAGTAGATAATAAAAAGATAATTTGCAACTTATTAAAGGTGCTTGACCAATCAGTTTTTCTTCCCCTCTCACGCATCACTTTGATTTTCCTCCTGAGGGGTCAAGGTTCCCTTCAATCAGGCCTGGGTTCCGACATACATGAATGCACTTCAGCTGCATATGCTTATTGTGCCACCTACCATTTGGATGTCCTTCTGCTTCCCATTCATTATTACAAGTTGCAAGAACATTCATTAAAATTTACGAATTTGATAAATTATGACTGATGTTTAAAATAGGAGCAATTCACATTATCATGCTCTGTCAAAGTATTGTAACCGCTCACCCCCCGGTCGCTTCTTAATTATTTAAAAGCCTGTAATTAATTACTTCTTTCCCCTTTGTGAAATTCAAAGTAATTCATACTTACTGTAACTGGCCTTTTACCTCTAGTAGTAAAAGTGATCGTCTAGTTAATTAATTGATAATTTATATACCCACGTTGTGATAATGTTAATTAAGATAAACCCGGATTCGATGCAAAGTTTGAAACAAATTTGTGAATGAAATAAAACTTATGAAATAAAAATTATACAGGGTGTTATTGAAATACACGTACATATTAAAACTGGGTATTGCGCAGATCCCCACTGAATGTAGAAAAATATTATTTTTTTAAAAATACCCCTTATTAAGGTAGTTATTAATTTTTGAAAATTAATTCTAAAACAAAGGTACTTCACTGTTATGTTGAGGATGACCTATATAAATTAGGTTTATTTACCTATTTTAAATATCAACAGTAATTAATATGCAAGTTTTTGTCAGATGATAAGAAAACTAGTCTTGTAAAAAATAACCATGTTGCCAAGATTTTCGAATTAATTTCTATTTCCGAAGACTGGTTTTTACTACCCTCGTTATCAAAAAACTAGAATATTTGATAAATGATTGTTTTTAAACTATACATTTTTGAAACTATAGATTATTAAAATTTTAGTTGATTTACGAATCTGGCTAACACGAGCGCGTCATTTCCAAGTTGGTAAAAAGTGTTGTTACGATTACTTTTAAATAGTTTTTTACGATGCCACTATTTACGAATATTGAACTAACGGATATAGTGCTGGTTTATGGGGCAGCTGGAGAAAATTCTCGGCAAGCACAAATCCTGTATCGCGAACGGTTTCCAAATCGGAGAATTCCGGACTGTCGTACGTTTATTTCAACTGTTCAGCATCTAAGAGACCATGGATAATTTGAGAGTGTCAATGCAGATCGAGGGAGAACAAGAACACAAAGAACATTGGCGGCCGAAGAAGAAATATTGGAAGCTGTTGAAAACCGGCCTCAATTAAGTTGTAGAAGACTAGGTCTTGAAATTGGAGTGTCCTCATTTGTTGTGTGGCGGACACTTAAAGAACAAGGTTTACATCCTTATCACATCCAAAAAGTCCAGGCCTTATATCCAGGTGATGAAGAAAAGAGAGTGGAGTTTTGTGAATGGATGATTCAAAAATGTGTTGATATTCCTGATTTTCTAAAAATATTATTGTATACTGACGAGGCTTCATTCACTCGTGATGGCGTGTTCAATATGCACAATACGCATATTTGGAGTGATGAAAATCCTCACGCCATTAGGGAAACTGGGCATCAAAGAAAATTTTCAATAAATGTTTGGGCTGGCATAATAGATCAGTATTTAATCGGGCCTTATGTTCTCCCGAACAGATTAAATGGGCCAGGATATCTCCACTTTTTAGAAGATATTTTGCCAGTACTCCTAGAAGAGATACCGTTACAATTAAGGCAACGGATGTGGTACCTACTAGATGGCGCTCCTCCTCACTTTGATTTAAACGTACGGCAGTTTTTGAACATTAAATTTCCTCAAAAGTGGATAGGCAGAAATGGACCTACTAAGTGGCCTCCGAGATCTCCGTACTTAAATCCATGCGATTTCTTTTTGTGGGGTCACATGAAACAACTGGTTTATAATGAACCTATTAATAGTGTTGAACAATTAACCAATAAAGTTAATGCGGTAGCCGAGGAACTACGACAAAATCCAAGACTAATTTCTAATGTTCAAAGTTCTTTGGAAAGACGATTGTAAGTGTGTGTAAATAATAATGGACGGCATTTTGAACAATTACTGTAATAAACTTTATTTTGAATTAATTGGTTTTGCTACGGCAACAGTGCAATTTCTATGGGTAAGTTCAATTTCGATTTATTTTACTTCTTTAAATATGGAAACTAGTAGGTCGGAAAAGGGGACTCTTCCCCAATATTTAAATTTTAGAATTTGAAGTTAAAATTGGTGCCAATCGTTTTTGGTCATTACATACTATTCCCCATTTTAATATGTACGTGTATTTCAATAACACCCTGTATTTAACTTATTTATTTTATCCTCAAATAAAATAGCAATATCATTACTTAAATTGGGGAATGAGAAATTATATTTCTCACCGAGACCTCACATGTGTCCAGCCCAAATAAACAGGCCACAGGCCACTTGCCATTACATATGTTACGTCACCGATGGTACGTAATATTTTAGTTTGGCAATCCTATCAATATTTTTTGTAATTTACTTTGTGTTTCCATATCGACCATGTTTGATTAACGTTTGTACAAAGAATACCTACCCAAGAAGCGAAACTAAATTAGTTTTCGTATGTACCAAAGCAAGGGAACTTAATACACTGGGAAACGTATGAAAATTAATCAATTTTTGTCGTTTGGTTCATAAGAATTAAACACATACCAAAGTAACAATGACAGAAAATTCTTACTATGTTCATTATGTCAAATAGATTATTTAAATAAGAAATAAGTACTGTAGGTACAATAATGATAGTCACTACACAATAGCGAAAGCAGATGACCTGGTCATTCTGCAAATAGGGAATTTTGAGAACATGGATCAGTGGTGCAAGGACCATTTACTGTTTATCAATCCCAAGAAGGCAGAAATGGTCTTTTTCACAAGGTAGAGGATGAAAATTAAATTAGAACCTACAGAGCTCCTAAACACAAAACAAAATTTTGTAACAGTGATGAAGTACCTAGGTACCACCTTTGACAACAAGTTAACATGGAACTCATACTTAGAAAATAGAGTCAAAAGAGCATACATTACTTAAGAAAAATGCCGCCAAACCGTGGGGCGCACCTGGGGTATCTCTCCCAGAGTCGTCTCATGGACTTACATGGCCATCATAAGACCTATGCTTACATACGGTGCAGTTGTCTGAGTACCGAAAATCCAAAATAGAACAAATTCAAATAACAGCATGTCTCAACATAACAGGAGCTATGAAAACCACATTAACCAGAGGCATGGAAGTCGTTCTTAGTCTCACTCCCGAGATATATCTTCCATAAGCCATATGAAGATATAAAAACAAATTGAAGAGCTGGAAGTGGCAGGTACGATTCATATCTACACCGACGGTTCTAAAACCAAACAATACTTAGGATATGAAATATAATCCAATTCCTTAAACCTCAACATAAAAGAGGCTGTGAGCAATAGTGCCAATGTAGTTTAAACCGAGCTCACCTAGGTTCTCATAGCAGCAAAAGAATTCACCAGAAACAATATCATTGGTAGGTTTATCTATACAGATAGCAGATAAGCACTATTGGTCCTGAACAGACTATGAATTTACTCAGGATTAGTACTAGAATGGCACGCAGCTTTGGAAAGAGTATCCATCCAACAAAGTGGCTACCTTAAAATGGATCAAAGGTGACGCCACATCGACAGGTAGCCTTCTTGCTGATTCACTAGCCAAGAAGGCGGCCAACCAAATACATTTTGGACCTGGCCCTTCTATTGGACTGACAACATCGGTAGTGACAGACCTAATTAAATAATATTCCCTTGTGCAATTGAAGAAAAGATGGGATGAAACAAGAAACTGCAGAATTACCAGAGAGCTTTTAAGTTATCCCGACAACACTACAACAAACGAATACTTGACTATGACTAGACATAAACTGAGTCTGATCACAGGCATTCTGACTGGTTATTGCCAAGTACGGAAGCATCTTCATTTCGTGGGGCTGTCAGAATCCTCACCATGCAGGGGGTGCGAACAAAAAG